CTGGAGTGCAGTGGTGCAATCTCGGCTCACTGCAACCTCCACCTCCTGGGTTCAAATGATTCTCCTGCCTCAGCCTCCCGAGTAGCTGGGATTACAGGCGTGTGCCACCACGCCCAGCAAATTTTTGTATTTTTAGTAGAGACGGGATCTCGCCATGTTGGCCAGACTGGTCTCAAACTCCTGGCCTCAACTGATCCACCCTCCTTGGCCTCCCAAAGTGCTGGACATTCAGGCGGGAGCCACTGCGCTTCGCAGTGAGCTTCCACCTCTTGCAGAATGCCTCTGTCACAGGAAACCTAGTCCACGAGCGCTGTGACACTTCCTGAAGTCTTGGGTGGGGTGGAGAGAGGAGGAGGATGTTAATTCAAAGCGTCTTAAGGTTCAGCACTGACAGAGGCAATACCCAGCTCACTCTCAGTTTTGTTTGGGTCTCCTGACAATTGAGTTTCCATAATCTGGTCAGCTCAGAGACACCACCATGTGTGGCATATTCACAAATGCAGACAAAGGAAATTCTACAAAGCCAGGGGTGAAAAAAATCTTTCCGTTCTCAGACACTTCTGTGAAGTCTATGTGGACTAAGGGGAGAAGAACAGAAGTTTCTCTGGGCCTTGCCATCTTGGGATCTCTTCTCTCATTTTCTAAAAATGGTTTCTCACCTCAGGCTGAGGAGATGGTGGGGAAGGAGGTCTCCCTTACCCTGCCCACCTCAGACAGTTCTAGGGAGACAGAGGTTTCACCACTTGGCCACTAGTCTCAAATAACTGGAAGGCTCCTTTTCCTGAGGCCATGCAATGTTCTGGAACCACAGGTCCCCAGCCCCCCATGGGAGCACAGACAGGCAGGCCGTGTTGGGCTTCTCACCCACAGCCACTTTTTTGACCCGACTCTTGGGCAAGCCCTCATCACCATCAGGGTCTTATGGGCAGTCTAGACTTGCCAGCCCAGTCCTTGAACTTGGAGAGGGAGGTGGGGCTTGGAAATGCCTTGTCCCCGGGCACCCCGTCCTTGGAGCTGAGCCCTGTGCCCACAGCTTGGTTCAGTTTGCAGGCACCGCTGTGGCACTCTTTGCTGGTGGGAATGAAGAGGCCTCACTGGCCTTCTTTGCCTTTTTCTTCTTTTTGGTTCCAAGTGACACCTGGTTCCTGGTAAGCTCACCTGACTTCTGCTTCTGGACTGTGGCCGTGCTGGGGGCGGCGGTGGCGACTACCGCCACCTTCTTGGCTTTCTTTTTCGACTTCCTTTTCTCCTTTGCCTCCTTCTCCACCGTGCCAGCGCTGTGGATGGCTGACTCCTGCAGGATGTCCGACGCCGACACAGCTGCCTCCCGGCACCGCCGCCACTCCTCGTCGCTGTCCTCACTGCTGGAGCTGGAGGGCGGGTGCTTTCGGCGGGGTTGGGGCGACTCTTCCTTCTCACGGCCTCCAGGGACAGAAGTGAAGAAAAGGCGGAAACCATCATCCTCTGAAGCGACTTTCTGTACCTGAGCTTTTGTTGTCTCCTTTGCTACTTCTGAGATGGTAATGAAGCTGTCCAGCAGGGCTCCCAGCTTCTTGGCTACGTGGGCTCGGAATTCGGGGGTGGTCTGAAGCTCGTTGCCATNAAAAATTAGCCTGGTGTGGTGGTGGGTACCCGTAATCCCAGCTACTTGGGAGGCTGAGACACGAGAATCACTGGAACCTGGGAGGTGGAGGCTGCAGTTAACCAAGACTGTGCCACTACACTCCAGCATGGGTGACAGCGTGAGACTCCATCTCAAAAAACAAAACAAAACAAAACAAAACAACACAACATGGGTTTGGAGTCAGATGCACTTGGGTTTCAGGCCCAACTCTGCTCCCTCCTGGGTTTTGAATTCTGGCTTTGTCATTTAGTAGCGGTGTCCCTTGGGCAGATGACTTTGCCTCTTTGAGCCTCAGTTACCCACCTGTACAGTGGGAATGGTAACAGTCTCTACTTCTTAGGGTCATCACAAGGATTAAATGAGAAAATGGACATCAAGCGCTTAGCACAGAGCCTGGCTACAAACAGTTGCTCAGTAAATGGTAGCTATGATGATGACTTCAGGCAAACATGTCTCCTTGCTGACAGCCTGTTTCCTCACCTGGAGAATAAAGGTAACAACAGGACCCACATGATAACGTGTTTTATGAATGCAGTGAGGTGACATATGCCAAGTGCCTGCCTGGACACCGTGAGCTCCCAGCCAGTGTGAGCCATTGCTGTTTGTATTAACAAGGGCAGGAGAGGAGAAACTCCACCGGTGTTTACCTGTCCAGCAGGGCTCCCAGCTTCTTGGCTACGTGGGCTCGGAATTCGGGGGTGGTCTGAAGCTCGTTGCCATCTTGTTCATGTTCATCCACCTTAGGCCTACGACACACACAAAGAGACCTCACTTCCTGCCGCTCAGGAGCTGCCCCCATGAGCGTGGGGACCATGTGTGTCTTGTTCACCTGGATATGCCAGGGGTCTAGCCTAGCATCTGGCACACACAGGGGATCAGCATTTGTTGAATGAATAAGTGAAACTTGAACCCAAAGAGCACAGTACCTGAGACTCGGTTGGGAGGTTGACAACTGGTTATCTGTAGCACCTGTGGAAAAACGGAAATTGGGACATTTATAGAGGCAACAATGACAGTAAGTACAAACGTGTGCCAGGTACTATGTTCAGCAGCTGAAAATATATATCACTCATACACATACATGGATCACTCATTTATATTTATATATAACTTCAAACAGTTATATACCTATAACTTAAAATAGTTACATATGTAAGTTATATACGTAACTATTTATATAACTATATTTTATATGGTTATATATAACTTAGTTGTATAACTTAAAATATATATGCACATGGGTTTGAGGCCTAACTCTGCATTTATAGAAGAAATTTACAGAGGAAAAATGACAAGTACAAACGTCTATCAGGCACTATGTTCAGCAGCTGAAAATATATATCACTGATAGCTATATTTATATATAACTTAAAATAGTTATATACCTGTAATTTATATAAGTATATTTTATATAGTTTATATGTAGCTTAAGATAGTTATGAACCCATAACATTATATAAGTATATTTTATATAGTTGCATATATATAACTTAGTTATATAACTTAAAATAGTTATATATACACCTCAGGGTGTGAGAGAGAAGTGAAACTTAGCTCTGAGGTTTCTGACTTAACTAACGAGTTATGTATATAACTTAAAATATATATAGCACATATAACTCAGTGAATCTTTCCAACAACCCGATTGGAGGAGTTACCATTATCCTGTTTTGCAGAAGAAACGTCAGAGATGTAAAATAAGTTGGCCAGAGTCAAATACCTATTAAGTGACAGGGTTGGGCCGAGGACCCAGGCCACTTGGCTCCTGAGCCCCTCTTAACCACCATGCTGTGCTGGATACTCCAGTTAAGTATAACGGCACTGCACAGTTTAGTGCCTGCCTGGCTGTGTGCTAAGTGCCGTGGAGGAGAGAGAAGATGGCTCTTTTGTAGATCACATTTTTCAAACCAAAACACTAAGGATGTCTGGCCTTTCATTCACTCAAACCAAACACTGAACGCCTCATATTAGCCAGGTGAAACTGCTGAGCAACTTACTTGAATGTCACTGTCTGCATGGAGCTTACATTCTAGTTGGTGGAGAGAGATGACAAACACACGTACATAAACAAAATGTAAAGTTGGATAATGGTAAGTGCACAGAAAAAAAAACAGAAACAAAGTAGGGGAGGGAGGTGGGAAGCACTGGGCTGGGGACTGTTATATAAAGGTGGGTAGAAAGGGCTTCATTTGAACAGAGATTTGAGAGAGGAGGGGAGTGAACCAAATAGACATGTGGGACACAGCCTTCCAGACAGAAGGGAAGAGCATCTGCAAAGGCCCTGAGATCAGAGCCTGCTCTGTGTGTTTAGAACAGTGAGGAGGTCAGCGTGACCAGGACCCAGCCAGCAAACTGGGAGCGGCAGAGATGGAGAACTCACGGGGGCCAGATCACGAAGGGTCCTGACATGGGCCAGTGGGAGGACCTGGGCTTTGAGGAGGAAGAACTCTGAAACTGAGCAGAGGAAGGACATAAACTGACCTGGGTTTTCACAATACATCTTTGGCTGCTGTGCCGCACGAGACTGTTGGGGTAAAGGCAGGAACACGGAGTCTGCTGCAATAATTGAGCTGGTGAGAGGTGTGGACTCCAGAGAGACGCACTTGCAAGATGGAGTCAATAGGAGTCACTGATGAACGGCTCTTGGCTTCACTGCCCCGTGCGGCCGTTGCTCCAAGCCCCAGGCCGGCATTGCTGCCTCGCGGCACCGCGCCAGCTCCTCCGCATCGCTTTTGGGGCTACTGCTTTCCGAATCGCTCATAGTGCCATTGGGCGCCGCCATCTTGAACTACCGCCCTGGCTATTTTTTTGTATTTTTAGTAGAGACGGGGTTTCTCCATGTTGGTCCGGCTGTTCTCAAATTCCCGACCTCAGGTGATCCACCTGCCTCGGCCTCCCAAAGTGCTGGGATTACGTGAGCCACCATGCCCAGCCTCAGATGAGACTTTGGACTCGGAGTTTTGTTTTAATGCTGAAATTAGTTAAGAATTTGGGGGACTATTGGGAAGGCATAATTTGTTTTGAAATGTGAAAAGGACATGAGATTTAGAGGGGTCAGGGGTGAAATAATATGGTTTCGCCCCATGTCCCCACTGAAATCTCATCTTGATTTGTAACCCCATGTGTCAAGGGAGGGACCTGGTGGGCGGTGACTGGATGATGGGGGTGGTTCCTCCATGCTGTTATCATGATAGTGAGGAAGTTCTCATGAGGTCCAGTGGCTTAAAAGTGGCAGTTTCCCCTGTGCTTTCTCCTGCCATCTTGTGAAGAAGGTGCTTTGCTTCTCCTTTCTTCTGCCATGATTTAAGTTTCCTGTGGCCTCCCCAGCCATGCAGAACTGTGTCAATTAAAACGCTTTCCTTTAGAAATTACGCAGTCTCAGGGAGTTCTTTATAGCAGCATGGAAGCAGACTAATACAGACCATTTATGTTACTAGTAAGGCTTCTGGTCAACATTAGGCTATTTTTTTTTTTTTTTTTTTTTTGAAATGGTGTTTCACTCTGTTACCCAGGCTGGAGTGCAGTGGCATGATTTCGGCTCACTCTCAGCACAAGCAATCCTCCCACCTTGGCGTCTTGAGTAGCTGGGACTACAGGCATGTACCACCACACCCAGCTAATTTTTTTGTAGAGACGGGGTTTCACCATGTTGCCCAGGCTTGTCTCAAACTCCTGGAATCAAGCAATTTGCCCACCTCAGCCTCCCAAAGTACTGGGATTACAGGCGTGAGCCACTGAACCTGGACTTTTTTTGTTTTGTTTTGAATTGTATTTTTTGTAAAGACATGGTCTCACTGTATTACCCAGGCTGGTCTTGAACTCCTGGGCTCAAGTGATTCTCCTACTTTGGCCTCTCAAAGTGTTGGGATGACAGGTTTGAGCCAACTGTGCCTGGCTAGTATTTGAGTTTTTGGGGAGTCCAAAGTGATACACAGATTTTCAATGGCACAGATGTATGGTCAGTGCCCGTATCCCCCATGTTGTTCAAGGGTCAATTGTAGTTAACATCAGGTCAACTGTATGCTTTTTTGTGTAAGGATTAAAGCAGAAGGAGCTTTATTATCAGGTCGATTGAAGACTTAAACTGACCTGTTAGGGAAACTGGATGTTATCTTTCTCTTCTGATTTGTTGGAAGGTCAGCTAATAACTTAGTTTAGGGTTGGTGAAGTGGAACTTTAGTACGGGTGACTCCATTTTGATTTTGTTTGGTCTGTTGGGGCCTAGGGCAGGAACTTAGTTCAAACCAATGGCCTCCTATGATTTTTATTTAACAAGACTGCCCAGACTGGTCTTGAATTCCTGAGCTCAAGCAATCCTCCCACCTTGGCCTCTGAAAGCCTTGGGATTACAAGCATGAACTTGATTCTTTGCTAGCAAATCGTTTCTCTTCAACAGCTACACCTTTTGTTTCCTGTTTTACTGAAATAGAAAACTGCAGAACAGCACTAATGGTGATAATTGACCACCTTATCTTTCAAGTGTGATGTTGGCTGTTGGTCTGAAACTACCTTATTAAGGTAGGATCTTATACCTTTAAATGTTGCCAGGAATGGTTATTGAATGTGAACAAATGCATTGCCATCTAAGGACAAAAGTTTCTCATTTGACAATGAGGTGATGAATATCACACTACACATAACCCAGAGGCAAATCATACTTGATCATGTTCTATTTTTGTAGGCATGCCACTGAATGAGATTTGCTTCCATTTCCCCCAGGATTATTCCATCTGTACTCCCAGCTTCCATATCCAACCCCCACAACCTCCAACCCAGGAACCCCCTTTACTTTCAAATTTAAATTACCTGCCAGAACTTTATTTTCAAAGAACCAGTCAATCTTACTGCTTACTGACAGATTCTACTCTTTCTGCTTATTCCTTCCACTTTTTTTTGAGACTGAGTCTCACTCTGTCACCCAGGCTGGAGTACAATGACACAATTTCGGCTCACTGGCTTCAAATGATTCTCCTGCCTCATCCTCCCAAAGCGCCGACATTACAGGAGTGAGCCACCGCCAGGAACTGGGACTGCAGGCTCCTGCCATCATGCCTGGCTAATTTTTGTATTTTCGGTAGAGACAGGGATTTGCCATTTTGGCCAGGCTGGTCCCAAACTCCTGACCTCAAGATGATCCACCCACCTCAGCCTCCCAAAGTGCTGAGGCCACAGGTGTGAGCCACCTGGTCTATCTTGTATCCCGCTGGACTCTCAGCAACGAAACTCCGGCTGCCTGGAATTCTATGACTCCTTCCTCCATAACCTCAACTCCTACACAGCTTTAGGCTCCAATCCAAGTGCACTGATGATGGAAAGCTTTCCCTGACTCTCCAGGCTAGGTCAGGCACTTCAGCTCTGTGCATGGTGACCCCTTTCTTCATCTGTCACAGAACTAATCATTGTCTTCACCCTCCTACTAGCAGCTCAGTGACAGGGATGGGGAGATTCCTCTGCTTTCTCAGTTGCTAAAGCAGGGACAGGCACAGAAAAGTGGGAATGCTGTAAAGGGGGAAATGGCTAGCAGCCTTGGCTCCAGGACCAGGGGATCAGGTTGAACACACCCTTGCTTTCCTAGACCCACACTTGGGACAAGGTCAACGGGAAATCTGGTTCAGAGGTAGCGCTTCAGGGAATGAGAAAAATCACACAAAGCAAGCACCACTTGGGGTTATTTTTTCTAACTAAACTTTTATTAAATTATTTTTTTCTTTGAAGGCTGAAATCATTGAAGTCCTTAGATCAGCTTTAAGCACTGGATGGAGTAAAAACCACAAGCAACTACAAGGTGATCTGTGAACAGACTGGCAGACAGATGACGAGAGAGGGAGTGACAACAAAAATTGACAAAGTCTGGTCTCCTGGTGGGCTAGTCAAATTACTTGCTTATTAAAATGTTAGAAATAAACAAACATTAACGAAATAAAAACCTAAAACTGAGCCCCAGTCTTAAGACTACTAGAAAGGCTCACCAAGTAAAACCTTCGGTTGGGTCAAGCGAGCTCTCTAAATGTTCTGTACAACCTGCTGCAGTCTGTTCCCCTTGGGCAAGGTGATGCTTTGTCCTGTGTGCAGCCTTTAACACCATCACCGTCCCCAAGTGCAGCTCCCGTTCTAAAAAAGATACCCCCCACCCCCAATTCCTGGTGACTGCCAATCTCTCCTGACTGCAGAAACTGACTCTGAAGGAGGAAGGTGCACCAGTGGTGGAGGCAGGTGGGCAAGTGGGTCCGGCAGGGATGGCTTCCTGGAGAAACCATTTGGATCTTTTCTCCAGATGCCTAATATGTGCTTAAGAGGTTTTTTTTTTTTTTTTTTTTTTTTTTTAAAGTTTGAAAAAAACTCCATTGTGAAAAGTGAGTTATGAAGAGTGCTCTTTATTTGAAACCTCCACAACACAGACGCCAATCTTGTCTCGCATTGAATCATTAGCTGTGCACATCAACACATTCCAAGCACAAATTAAGAAATGCAAACAGAACAAAAAAATATATATATATATAATTTTTTCCCCTATCCAAAGGTTTCAAGTCTCAATGCAGCAAATCCTTCTGAACACAGAATCTGAGGAGCACACTGTTCAAACAGTTGGGACAGACAGGTCCCTGCAAAGGCTACTGCCTTTTTAACACATGGAGTGGGGATCATGGACGGCATGGAAAGGGGAGAGGAGGTGAGGAAACAGGCGGTGGGGAGAGAATGAGAAGAGGAACAGGTATGCGCTGGGGAAGATGGGGCAGCTGGGACACACACATGGTGAGTTGGTGGATTTCATTTATTGGTTTTTGACAATTTCTTTCTGGTTCTTTTTTTAAACTCCCCCCTCCCCAGGTCCAACAATGGTAGAAAAACCCCACAGAGGTGGGCAGGGCCTTATTAGGCCAGCCCAAAGCCTTCCGAGCACTCCTGGATGGCCAATAGTAGCATGTGGCGGAGCTTCTCAAAGCTCTCATAGGCAGGCAGATCCAGTTGATTAAAACTAGGGAAAGAAAGATCAGTTTGTGGTGAGGGATGACAGAGAACCAAATCCCTGTGTTTCTATGGTGCCCACCGGCCCCTCCCCTCACCTCCCTGAAGGAGCCAACTCCCTGCCAATCTTGTCTCAAGCCCAATCTGCCCTCCTTTATCTGGCTCCCAAACTGGCCATCATGCACCAAAACCAAAAATCTGAGCCTGTCACTCTTCCTTCAACACCCTGGCCTCACTCGCCCACAGGCTAAAGTGCAAGCTTGAAGGAGGTTTTCAGGATCACTGGTAATTGGACCTCTGCTGAGCTCTTTAGACTTCTGCTCCCTGCAACTCCTCCTTGCTCTCCAGTCGCGGTGGGCCCTGGCATACACCATGCTCTCTTGCGGTGCTGTTCACCTGCCAGTGTCTGTCTAGCCCCCGCTCTGTCTAGCACTTCTCATCTCAGACATCATCTCCATAGAAACACCAAATTGTGAGTTACCCAAGGTCCAGGACTCAGCCACATTTGCGTTCCCAGTCTTGGGTAGGGTCCTAAAAACATCAAGTATGCAAGCTCAATCTAAGCACGGAAAAGGAGAAACAAACCCTTCCTTTTACCATGTGTGAGCTGAAGGCAGGCGATCTGTGGACCTGTCATCTCGATGGATCTGAAACTTCTGAATGCCATTCATGCCTTCGAGGGCAGCAAAGCCTTGCAGGGGTACCTTGGAAGTACCCGTGACAAACTGGAGGAACTTGGCACGGTCAGCTTGGTCGAAAGAACGCAATGCTCTCCAGAACCACTGGATCTGTAGGAAGGGACCCATGAAGCCAGTGTTAGGTAGAAGCTCCTAGAAGCAGGGTGGGG